ACCTTCTGTTGGGGAGATTGAGGGTGAGTATTGGCGTATAGTGGAGCAACCCACTGAGGAGGTAGAGGTATGACATATGATACTCTCCTTTCTCTTTTTAACGCACCTTTTCTGCCTGGTTGTTAATTTAAAGTTGATTTCCATTCATATTGCAGATATACTACGGGGCTGATTTGGAAACTGGAACATTTGGAAGTGGGTTTCCTAAGGCGTCAACAATGGTAGCTGATAATGATTCTGATAAATATGCTAGTTCAGGCTGGAACCTGAATAACTTGCCGCGCCTACCTGGTTCTGTGCTCTGTTTCGAAGGATGTGATATCTCAGGAGTTCTAGTACCATGGCTCTATGTTGGGATGTGCTTTTCATCATTTTGTTGGGTAAGTCATAAATCAAATGATCCAGTTAGAATGCATATTGATTGTGCATTCACACCCACAAACTGTTTACTTTTGACAGCAACAAGTATAATTTTAAATATTTTGTGTTACATATTTTTGCAAGAACCGATTTTTCAAACATTTCTTTAGTTTGTCCCTTGTGCTTTCTTTTCTGCAAAGAATTGCCTTTTATTTCTGAAATGTCATTATGCTATATAATTCGTTCTGATGTTGATTTTAGTCAAATAGTAAAGTAGTTGCAAGATTTGTTCATTTATGATTATAGATCTCATTAATTCTTTTTCTTTACCCTCTCTTTTGCTTTTTATGTTGTGATTTGAACAGCACGTTGAAGATCATCACTTGTATTCACTGAACTATCTCCACTGGGGTGCCCCAAAAGTCTGGTATGGAGTCCCCGGAAACCATGCTTCTTCTTTGGAGAATGCTATGAAGAAGCATTTACCAGATCTATTTGAAGAACAACCAGATTTACTTCATGAACTGGTGAGGAGAAGATTCATTTTTAATCTATTATGATTAGACACAAATAAGCAATTTGTACTGCTTTTTTAACTTGCTTATTCATGGATGATATTAATTTGTTTTCAGATACATTCTATGCCATAAAATGGTAAGAGGTTAGTACGTTAGAGATTTAGATAATGAAGATAAAGTATCACCGTAATATGCAATCTGCTGGGAGCTTGAGTCCCAAAGTTGTCCATAGTATTTAGGAGATCATGAAACAAAAAGGATTATATAACTCAGAAGAGGAGATATAGGTAGTGTATCAGCACCTGGCCAATGGATGTTACATGTCGTCTAAACTCTTTTTTAGGAGTGAATATGCTTTTTTGATATCTTGCATCAGTTTCACTAGTTCAGGCTTATGATATTTAATAGTGGCATTTTAAATCATGAAACTTCATAATCTAGTTGGTTCTTCAGATCTACCTGGTCCTACATTCTAATAAAGTCCTTACAATTTTTTTGTTCTATCTCTTTTACTCTTGGAAACATGTTCTTGAATTATGCTATCAATTCACTTTTCCATCAACTCACCCATTGCAGGTCACATCTTATTCTTTTCTTCCTGATCTTTGCTTCTGCATTTTGTTAAATAATTGTTAGAATATAAAGCTTATCCTTCTCTTTTGGTCCAGGTCACTCAGTTATCTCCTTCAGTTCTGAAAGATGAGGATGTACCAGTCTGCCGAGCTGTCCAGCAGCCTGGGGAGTTTGTTCTTACCTTCCCAAGGGCATACCATTCTGGATTTAATTGTGGTTTTAACTGTGCCGAGGCTGTAAATGTAGCCCCTGTTGATTGGTTAGCACATGGACAGAATGCAGTGGAACTTTACAGCAAGCAGCATCGCAAGTCATCTATATCCCATGACAAGCTGCTGCTGGGAGCAGCTAGAGAAGCTGTCCAGGCCTTTGGGGAGTTGACTTTTCTAGGAAATGAAACCCCACAAAATTTGAGGTGGAAAAGTGTGTGTGGAAAGGATGGAATACTTACGGAGACAGTTAAGGTGAATGTTTATTCTCTCTCTCACACAAATTTACTGCAGCATCCTCTGCAAGACTAACATATTTATGGTTTACAGGCACGAGTCCAGATGGAGGAGGACAGAATGAAGGATCTTTCAACTGGTTTGAAGTTGGTAAAGATGGCAGAAGACTTTGACTCGAATAATGAAAAGGAATGTTTCTCATGCTTCTATGATTTGCATCTATCTGCTGCCAGCTGCAAGTGTTCACCTGACAGATATGCATGTCTTCAACATGTAAGCCTCCTTTGTTCGTGTGAAGAAGAGAACAGATTTATCCTCCATCGTTATACCATGAGGGAATTACACTTACTAGTTGAAGCATTGGAAGGAGAAACTGAAGCTATAAAAACATGGATATCCATAAACCTTGGATCAGATTTTGTTGATGACGATGATGCTTCTAACAACCATGTTTCATCAGAAGTAACCCAGTCAGAGTCCGAACATGTGGATTTTATTCCTGGTAATAGCTTAAATGATGATCCAGTCATGATGAAGGAAGTGATGCCAAACAAGAAAATGAAATCAATGCAGGAGGATCATCTTGATTTGAATCTTGATTTCACATCTTCTGGTCATGGACAGAGCATTGTGCATTCATCCAATGATTGTGTTAACGAACCTGGCAAGAACATGGGAGACATGCATAACTTTAAGCAATCAGATGCACCAAGAGAAGAAGGTATAATGCAAGATGGAAGTGGTTGTAGTTCCTCTGAGTCGCCAGAATTCACAAACTCACTTCCAAATTCTGAACTGCCATCGAAATCTGTTTCCGAACAAAATATTTCAATAAAAAAAACAGGTTCTTATGTGGAGCTTGTAGATGTTGGTTCTCTTATGATTGGAAAGCTATGGTGCAGCAAGCAGGCTATCTTTCCAAAGGGTATGTTAAATGCTGGCATGGATTTTGAATTCCTTCTTAAATTTTTATTTCTTTATTCTTTAATAAAATGCACTTTTCCCATAGAAGAGAATTTTGTTATATCTTTTCAGTATCTTGTGATTTTTGCAGGATTCAAAAGCCGTGTTGAGTTCTTTAGTGTGCTTAATCCGAAAAAAGTTTGCAGCTACACTTCCGAAGTCCTAGATGCTGGGTTTCTTGGCCCCCTATTTAAGGTCTCATATCATCAAGCTTTCATTTGTAAATTCACTTGCATGGCACCAGTTAACATCATATTCTTTATCTCCAAAAAATTGTTCATGTTTTCTCCGTACACTTCTCTAGCCTATATTTTCTCTTTGCTTACTTCTAAAAAAAATTGTCAGGTCACTTTGGAAGGATGCCCTACCGAAAGCTTTTCAAATGTTTCAGCAGAGAAGTGCTGGGAAATGGTGTTGCAGCGACTTAGTCAAGAAATTAAAAGACAAAGAGGAGGAGGAGAAGGTGGATTTCCTGATTTGGAGCCTTTTCAAGAAATTAATGGGCTTGAAATGTTTGGTTTTCTGTCCTCGGATATAATTCAGGTAAAGCTACTTTTTCTCTTCTTGATCTGTTCAGTTTCTTGTGCGAGGAAATTTCTGAATCCGCAATAGCCATTTGGGAAAGAATAGACTTTTTCTGCAGCTGATATAGCATGCTTTTCCACCAGTTAGTAAATGATAGAGATCTTATATGGTCATTTAACTGCACAATGCAGTGCTAAGCCGTACTGTGATGCAATTATGAGGAATGTCTTAGTTAGATTTGTCATGCCTGTGCTTTCATTTCTTCTTTATATTCAAGTAATTGAAGATGGAAGATTTAATCTGAAATTCCTCAAATAATAGTTTGAATATGCACCTGAGTTATCACCCATTCTATTTTCTCATCACAAGTATTAACCTTTTTATTTCTTTTTGCCCATATATGCTAATTTTTCAAGTGCATTTCTGTAAATTTAAGTGAGCATACGCATATGCAGTTTCTCTCATTTATTTGCTTCAATTTTCAGTTACGCATTACAGTTTACAGTTATTTCTATGAAGTTGTATTTCTAGTTCTAACCAAATTCCTCTCAGGCTATTGAGGCTCTTGATCTGAATCATCAGTTGGTTGAGTACTGGGATCACAAGCACAGAACTTCAGGTAGTACTAGTGAAACTAAATCCCTACCCGATTCTAGTTGCTCCTCAGAGGGAAAGAAGGCAAAACTTTTTGGCGTTGATCTGACAAAGCTGGACCAGAACAATGAATCTGTCACAACTGATCTGGCAATGTGTCCCCAGAATATTCAATCAATCGGCTTTCATCTGACGAGGCCTTGCCAGAATGATCAATCTGCCGACCAGGACAATCAATCGGATGAAGGAGGCCAGCAATTAGCCAATGAAGAGAAGATACAAGTGGGGATTCGGGGTCTAATGAAAAAAGCCACTTCAGAAGAGTTAGAGGTGATGCATAAGGTTCTGTCAAGTGAGGCACAAAGCAGCGAACGGAGATTAGCATTTGCTATGTTGGCGGACGAGATCCATAAACCATGTAGATAAATGCAGCAGGATGGAAAGGAAATAAAGAACACAGGTTCCGTCATTCTTTTCTCATTCTTCTTCCATTTGCGCCAGTCCATTAATCCCATTCTTTCCTTTGATGATCCCTAGACAAAGATAGAAAAACGAGTCAGTCAGCGCACACATTTTGGAACGTGCCAGTTAGAAATTACAGAGATGGAGATGCCGTTAACCAATACATAAGGCAGCTTTATGTAAATCAGCAGTTAGTTTACTAACATCATTTGGATGTTGTTTTTCGGACATGTTTTGCCTCCTCTCTGTTTGAATAAATTCTGGTAGTCATTTAAAGTATGATCAGAGGTTGTGTACCCAAACAAATTTCTTCAGGTACAAGGAAAGCTTATATATATTAAATCTATACATATGGAAAAAAGAAAGCAGGTGGAAATTTTGTGGTCAGGCCATGTCATGTGACTGTAATTTGTATTCTCTCTTTTGTTGAATTTTGTTTTATTAAATTTTTTATCATGAAACGTATTTAAATATATATATATATATATGTTATTATAAACTTTAAATATATATGATAAGAAAATATAAATACATAAAAGAAGAGTATAAGAAAGTAAATAAGAACTTCAAAAGTCATCGTATAACAAGGTTTCTCATAACCTTTATTTATAGAGATTTATAAAGTCAAGAATTAAATTAAAAATAAAAAAAAACTTATAAATTAAATAAATTAGTTATTATTTTTATATGTGTAATGTAATATATTGTAAAATATTTTATAAATTAAAAAACTATAAACAACCAAAATCAATACTACTACTTTTCCGTTAAATTTATTTCTTCTTCTTCGTCGATTACCGAGAAGGCTATTAATTCTTTCTTTTTTTTTTTTTTCTTCTTATCACAAGCTCAACCATGTTTCTCCAGAAGCTGTCATTACAGATACCTATACACGTTTCCATGAGAAGGGGAAAGGAGTGACGAGCCTGCTTCTCATTCTCATTTCCTTTCAGTTTCAGTTTCAATTATTAGAGAAACGTAACAGCGCAAGCACAGAACACGAGGAAAAGAGAGGGAGAGAGAGATGTCGACGGCGCCCTTTTGCCGGAACGGGAGCTCCGTGGCGAAGACTGTACTGATAACAGGAGTGGGTAAAGGATTGGGCAGAGCCCTAGCCCTAGAGCTTGCAAAGAGAGGCCACACTGTAATCGGATGCTCTCGCACTCACGATAGAATCTCCTCCCTCGAATCAGAGATTACCTCGCCTGACCAACACCTTTTCCTCAACGCAGATGTGGCAAGTACCTCTCTCTCTTTTCATTCTCCTACGCAACGCATACAATACAAGCTTACCGCAATTACTCTTTTAATTGCATTTCAATTGAGTAAAGCTGTTTAGTTTCTACGGAGTTCCATAGAAATTTCCTTGGAGGGCGGGAGGGAGGAAATAAAATTAGTGGCAAGTGTAGTGATTTTGTTTCAATAATGCATACTTTCTGGAGAATTCTATATATGAATGTATCTATTAGACATACACAAGTATAACAAGTATTTATGTGCATGTATTTGCATAGGTATGTTTGCATATGAATAGAATGAAATAAATAGGCTTGATTATATTGTTTCTTGTTATTCTTCTTGAATTTCGATAATTTTTTTCTTTTAAATGCAAGTGAGTTTATGTATTGAGCAAGATTTTGTGATCATTTTTGCAGAGATCCAATAACAGTGTTGAAGAGCTAGCGCATGTTGTAATAGAAAAGAAGGGGGTCCCGGATATCATAGGTATATGACTTCTTTAAACAATTATTACTTCACAAATTGCACTATTAGATCATATTGTATTTGCTTGTTTCACTAATGAAGCAATATCTGGTGTAAAGGCTAAGTATCATGAGCATTGCCTAGAAAATTTCTGGCGTGATGATAACTGAAAGATGGTTATGGGTTGATTAGCATTTCAGGAAGTTGGTAGAAAATCAGTTAGCATATACAAATTAAGCAATGTGAATTTCACTTCATATGCTTGCTTTCCGCTTTTCTTGGTGGTTGGAGATCATTGTTGTTTTCATCTTTTGGCCTTCATTTTTCTGTATTCATGTTTATAGAACTAAAGTAAGGTGTTTCCAGTAAATAATGCAGGTACTATTAACAAAAATAACAAGCTTTGGGAGGTTCCTGTAGAAGAATTTGATACTGTTATTGATACAAATGTGAAAGGAATAGCAAATGTGCTGCGCCACTTTATTCCTTTGATGCTTCCAAACAAGCAAGGGATTATTGTTAATATGTCTTCTGGATGGGGAAGATCTGGTGCTGCGCTGGTAAAATTGACAACCAATCTTTGCTTGTATCTCAAACATGCTCATCTACTCCAATTTGTGGTTCTATATTCTTATCTGACATTCAGATTATAAGAAGTTATCCATTAGCTAACAGCAGAAATCTCCAATCGCATTCTCTGCAGAAATTTGTTAATGTTTCTACTTCACTGATGAATACGTGCTATGACTTACACTAAATAAGTAACCCAGTAACTTTAGTTTCATAATCCACCATCAAAAGCTTAGACATACAGTACTAGGAAAAACATTAAATATGTTGCAGCAAACATGGTTTCGCTAATGAAGCATGTTGTGATTACACTAATTACTTATTGTGAGACTTTAATTTCCTATTCTACTTTAAAGAGCTTGTACATACACTGACAGGGAAAAACATTAAAGATGTTGCAGCAACATGGTTTTGGTCTGTTTATGTATATAGTGTCCAAGCTTATTTTATTGTTCACACCCTTATATTGGGAGAATAAATTTGTATCTGTGCTATGGACAAAGAGTGAGAGCATGTGAACTGTGGCAAGTTCATTTTGTACTCTCAGTCTGTACTTTATAGTGTTATCTTGGCATGGCATGCAGACTGAACTTTTGCTGAATCTAATTGTGTTTCACAAGGTTGCACCTTACTGTGCTTCGAAATGGGCTGTTGAGGGCTTAAGCAGAGCTGTGGCTAAGGAGTTGCCTGACGGAATGGCAGTTGTCGCACTTAACCCAGGTGTGATTCACACAGACATGCTTGCATCATGCTTTGGGGCGTCAGCTGCACTATACCAGGCACCTGATGCATGGTATGCAATTTCTTTTCCTTTTTGATCTATCTACATTTTTGTTTGGTTTCAGTATGCTTGTAACTATTACAATCCAAATATTATGCATTTCGACCACACTAGTCATACTAGGAATGTGAAAAAAATACATCTATTTCTCTCTGACAACTGCAGCAAGTTTAAAATGTATGCGGTTGCTTCTATTTGGGGTTTGTTTCTTGTATGTGTTTGATTAGTCAATCCTGCCAACTTAGGCCTGCGGAGGTTCCATTAAATCCTATTTGTGATAAGTCCTTTGATACCTTGAAGTACTCTTCCTAGAACCTTGGTGCTGCTAATGTGGCCATTGAATTACCTTGACTGAGGAGCATATGTATATATAGAATAATTTTAAAAGTAGCCTAATTTTAAAAGTGGCATTGACATGAATACTTGAAAATCATTCAGTGATTTTTCTCCCCATTTATTCATACTGCAATACCTAATGGCTCACCTGCATCATTCATATTTGATGTTTTGATACCACAAACTATCAGTTTATGTTGAAAAGAGAAATAGCCACTGGAGGGATGAAAAATAGTGGAGGAGATAATCCTTTTTCTTTTTGTTGTCTTAGCAAATTTAGTATTTGGTTGACAACTACAACGAAAATGACGCATATGATTTTCCAATTTGCTACTACAAGCATTTGGATTGAATGGATTATCATAACTAGAAATGTGCAGTGAAAGCACTGTTTTCTTTCCCTTTTTTATTATTACTTGGTGGCTGAAACTAAAACCACTTCCTTCTTAACTCTGTGTATCAGGGCTTTGAAGGCAGCTACGATGATACTCAATCTTACAGCGGCAGACAATGGTGCATCTCTCACTGTCTAAAGGAGGCCAGTAATTAAATGGATGAGAAGACCATTTCAGGTTCCGGTATGAAGAAATTGAGTAATAATACGCAAACAAAAATTTTGGTAGAAATTTACTGCAAACTGATGTAGCAGCAAACTGAAACAGTACAAAAATTAGTTAGTGATATCAGTTGTAACATCAATTGAGGTTAAATACAGGGCTTCATCTATGGCAGTTAGCAAGACGATTGGTTTTGTAGTTTATGCTAATTCGTGATGCATTTGCAACAAGTCTTTACATTTTTAATTTGTATTAAAGGCAAGTAAATTCATGATTTGGAAACTTTGTAGCAAAAATCTTATTGAGAAGTGTTGACATTATTGAATATTTATTTTATTGAATATAACAAACTTGTACACAAATTTTTTTTATAACAAAAAAGAAACAAACAATTAATTACATAAATTACGTAGGATCCAGTTTATCCTAAGATTCTTTAATCTAGTTATATACTCTTTTTAGTACTCTCCCTTGAGCTGGAGAGTATATATTGTTATGATAGTCTTGAATGTTGGATTGCTCAAGTCTTTATTCAATATATTTATAAATTGTGAATTGTTTAGCATGTATGTGCTACATATTCTCTTGAAATATAAATGTTATATAACATTATGGTTCTACCTTTATAAACTGTGAACTGCTTACCTAGGATGTAATAACTCGAAAGTACTTTCGAGTTAATTTTTTATATTTAATATATTTAATTTAATTTTTGTATATGTTTGACAATATATAATAAAATTAAAAATATATTTTAGAGTCAAACAGAAAAATGATGGATAACGATGAAGAAATTAGAATAAACATGAAGAGGCATATAAAAAGGTAAGAAAGATGAAGTGGTATAATGAAAAATGATAACTTTTAGATAAAATAATACAACGAAAAGTAATAATGTTTAGATGAAGTGTCATGTGAAAAGTAATAACCTTTTATATGAAATATCATGTAAAGTGTAGTAATTTTTTAAATAAAGTGACATTTGAAAAGTGGTAACCTTTTGTATGAAATAACATGATGAAATGTGACAACTTTTAAATAAAGTGACATAGCAGAATGGTAAAAACATTTTTCTCGTGGCTCCTCACTCCTATAAATAGAGGATGAGAGAATGGAGAAAGAAACATGGTGGATGAGAGAAAAATAGTGAGAAACATAGAGGTGAAAGAATAATATTATAAAACAGAATAGCAGTAGGGAAAAACAAAAATTGGAAGAACTAAAACTTTAAAAAAAATAGGTAAAAATTCCGGCTTAATTTCATTTCGTTAATTGCAAAATTTATAGGCAAGAAAAATAACTAATTTCTCTAATAACTTTCCACTAAATATAATAGATAAAACTGATGAGAAATTGTTGCCAATATCTAAGCCATAAGCAGCCACTAACTTACTAACTTCCCTAATAACTTCCCACTAAACATAATGGATAAAACTGATAAGAAAATAAATGAAACTAAAAGAAAAAAAAATTAACAGAAACAGTAAAACAATGTGGTGTAATTAAAATGTCATATGTCTAACACTCCTCCTCGGTATTTTGATGATAAATTCCAATCTTTTGCCTTAGAGTTTAAAACCTTTCTTTAGGTAGTGGCTTGGTAAAAATGTTTACAAGTTTTTCTTTAAAGGAACAGTGAACAAGTATCATTTCATTAGATTGTTGGACTTTTTAATAAAATAAAATTTAATCTTGATATGATTGGTTTGTCTATAAAAGACTAGATTCTTTAAAATTGAGACTGTAGAAATATTATCACACATAATCTTGACTGTAGAAATATTATCACACATAATCTTGATTGTTTCAGCTTGTTCATGTCCCAAATCTTTAAGTATCTTCCTCAACCAAATAGTCTGGTTGACAACAGTGATAGTAGCGATATACTCGGCTTCTATAGTAGACTGAGTTGTCGTCTTGTTTCTTTGAGTTCTAAGTAAAAAATCTAGAACTTAGAGAAAATAAGTACCCTGAAGTGCTTCTTGAATCATCAACACAATCTTCCCAATCACTGTCAGTGTAACCAATCAACTTCAAAGTCTCTCTTTGGGATTTTGAGAAAAAAGTTCCAAGAGTAATAGTACCTTTGATGTACCTAAGTACATGTTTTGTAACTATAAAGTGAGTCTCCTTTGGAGAATGCATAAATCTTCAAACAACACTTATAGCAAACATTATATCAGGTCAGCTTGTTGTGAGGTTGTGAAGGTTGCCAATTAAGCTTCTATATAAGCTTTCATCTACCTTCTCAGAGTCATCATCCTTACTTAGCTTGATACTGGTTGTCATAGGTGTCCTAAGAGTTTACAATTCTTCATTTTAAACCTATTTAAGATATTATATGCATATTTCTATTGATAGGTGAAAAGGTCATGGTTAGATTGCAACACTTCCATTCTAAGAAAGTATTTCATAGTTCCAAGGTCAGTCATCTCAAACACTTTTTACATTTTGTTCTTGAACTCTTGGATCAGTCCAAGTTGACTTTTTGTTATTAGCATATCATCAACATAAGTAGAGATAATTAAGAGATGATTGTCACAGGACTTTACATACAAGGTTACTTTATTTTGACTTTTATTGAACCCAAGCTGATTAAGATGATTGTCCATCCTGTCATACCAAGCTCGCAGGGCTTGTTTTAAACTATATAAGGCTTTCTTAAGTACGTACGCATGATCCTCTTTCCCTTGAAAAACATATCCATCTGGTTTCTCTATAAAAATCTCTTCATTAAGAAAGTCATTCAAGAAAGCTAACTTGACCTCGAGTTGATGAATCTGCCAATAGTTACAAGTAGTAAGAGCAATAAGAAGTCTGATTGTATCATATCTTGCTACTGGAGCAAAAGTCTCTTGGTAGTCCACTCCATATTGTTGAGCATAACCCTTCACGACCAACTTGGCTTTGGGTTTACATATTGAACCATCTAGATTGAGTTTTGTTTTAAAAACCCATTGAACTCCAATCACCTTGTAATCCTTAGGTCGTTCAACCAGCTGCTATGTTTTATTTTTATTGATCATCTCCATTTCTGCTTTCATACCTCCGTGCTAGAAAATCTTGAGCTTCAGCATAGCTGGTAGGTTCAATGATTGCAATATTACACCTTTGGTAAATGTCATCCAAGGTCCTTGTATCCCTAACTAGAAGATCATCTATCAATTCATCAGCTTAAAGTTGATTTTGGATATCAAATAAAGAATCATGATATACATTTTTCTGATTTTCCCAATCCCATGTTGTTGCTTCATCAATCTTCACATCTCTGCTTAAGATGACTTTTCTTGTTTGCAAATTGAGAATCCTGTATCTTTTGGTTGTTGTCTCATAGTTTACAAGAATGCCCTTTTGAGCTTTGTTGTCAAGTTTGCTTCTTTTTTGCTCAGATATTTGAAAATAACATATGTTGTCAAATATTTGAAGATGATCCACAGCAAACTTAACATAATTCCAAGCTTCATATGGTGTCATGTTCTCCAATACCTTGGTAGGTAATTTATTTAGCAAATACATAGAGGTATTGACTGCCTCTACCCATAGTTTGTTCGGCATTTTCTTCTTAAGTAAAAGACATCTAGCCATTTTCATTATTGTTTAATTTTTTCTCTCTCACACACCATTTTGTTATAGTGTGTATGGTGTGGTAAACTGATGAACTATGCGTGCACTATTACAATATTCAACAAACTGATTCGAAGTATACTCAGTACCATTGTCATATCTTAGTCATTTAATCAACAAACAACTTTGATTTTATACAAGAGCCTTAAATTTCTGAAAGACAGTAAACACTTCACTCTTGAGTTTAATAAAATAAACACAATACATCTTAATATAATCATCAATGAAAAGTATGAAGTACTTGTTACCACAAAGTGAGGCTGTTTTCATAGGACCGCACACATCAGTGTGGATATGCTAAAACTTTTTGCTGGCTCTCTGTGTTTGTCCTTTAGGAAATGGTAGTTTAGTTTGCTTGCCAAGTTGACATGTTTTATACAATTGGATTTCACCAATAACTGCAAACATATTTTTCAACGATCTCCTTCTACTTCATATTTAAGAGACTTCTCTAATTAAAGTACCCAAATCTTTTGTGTCAAAGATTTGAAACAACTTGAATAATGCTGGAATAGGCATGTTCAGAAACTTTTTCCTAATCAACAGCAAAACTTCTGTTCTTCATCTTTACACAAAATGATTGTCCTCCAGAAGGATAAAAAATAGTGTACTTATAATCCTAAAATTCAAAAGAATAATTTTTCTCAAGCATCTATCCAACACTCAATAGATTTTTGACTGATTTCAAGTATAAACAAAACATCATAAATAGTTTTAATACATGAACTTGTTTGAACATTGACTGAGCTTTTACCTTTGACTTCCAAAAAATCTTCATTGCCCATTTTTACTCTGACTTGTAAGTCTCGTCAAAATTTATGAACATTCAGAATCATTGCATAAATGATATGTGCATCCACTGTCAATGAGCCATGCATAAGATGAATCATTTGTTGAGAAGCAAAAAACTATAAAAAGTTGCTCCTCCTGTGCATTGGCTGCATCTACTAAGTGAGCTTGCTATGGTTTTGAGTTTTTATTTTTGAATTTACATACCTTTGTAACGTGCCTTAACTACTTGCAATTCCCACAAGTTGCATCAGGCCTCCACCAACAGTATTTCTCAGAATGTGTGGTCTTCTTGCAATGCATACAAGGAGGAAAATTTTATGTTTTGAACCTTCACTGCTGTCATCACCTTCATTTTTGCCTTTGTTCTTCTGATTGAATTATTTTTTGCCCTTACCAACTTGTTGCTTTTGCACATGGAAAACACTTTCAATTAATCTATTCTGCCTAATAGTCCTTTATTTGTTTTTGTGCTTGAAGAGCACTCATTAGTTCACCTAATGAGATCTTGCTTAAATCCTTGGATTTTTCAAGAGATGATATCTTTGATTCAAATCTTTCAAGAAGAGTTATAAGCACTTTTTCTGCAAAATCTTCACCAAGTAATCTAACATTGTTAACAATCAAAGAAATTCAATCAGCATACTAACCAATTGTTTCATCCTCCTGCATATTCAGATATTCAAATTCTCTTTTCAAGTTCAACACCTGCATTTGGTGTGTTCTATCACTACTTTGATATTCTTCTTTCAACCTGTCCCAAGCCTCCTTCGCAGTATTATATGCCATAATTCTATAGAAAACACAATCTGGCACAGAATTTTGAATAAGCGACTTGGCCTTGGACTTCTTTGCCTTTTTCTCACTGT